TTAAAGTTAACTCTAATCTCTGGAGTGATTTAGAGAAACTTCATAAAGAAGGTACCAGTACAATGAAGTCATTAAAAATACATGAGTGTGTGAAAACATAATAAAAGCAATAATTTTTTTTCAGGCAGGGCATGGAATCTACAAAGAGCAAAGACAGAGTGAAGTGAAATCTCAGGAAATGTTTGGGTAATAGAAAGAAGTTTACTTTTATTGAAATAAAGTTTTTTTTTATGGATGTATAGTAAAAGAAAGGTGGAAAGTTAGATTGGAGTTTTACAGATTGCTAAACTTGAATACCAATTTATTCAGTAGAAAACAGCAAGCCATTAAAGATTTTCGAAGTGGAAAATATGAAATTTAATCCATGCCCTGTGAATATAATTTTAACACTAGAAATTGAAGTAAAATCGAGAGACACGGGACTAGAAATAAGGAGAGCACTTAGGAGAGGGATCCTGGGAATGGTTCTGTGCATTCAAGCTGCTGCTGGCTGAGGCTGAATGCCACAGAGGCTGGAGGGGAAGAATCAGCTAACTTTTGGTTATTGAGTAAGTTTGCAAAGGTGACTATCAAGTGACATAGCAGGACTGACTCTCAGAATAACGATGTCATCTTTAAAAATGGCAAATGGAGGGAAAACAGATTTATGTAAGAGAAATAGGAATGGTGACCATTTCAGACATGTTTAACTACATATGCTATGTGAATACATCAAGCTTGTAATATGCATGAGGAACTCTGGGGTTGATCCTGGGGTAACTGACATAACAGTGAACGAGGGGGATTATGGAGGACTTAGCTGACACAAAGACCCCCTTTGCCATTCTCATTACAGAAACACAAATTTTATAACTTTTGAAACATATCACCTAGCTCAGAAAATTAAAAAAAAAAGTCTCAGGTTTCATCAATGCAGATGTAGCAGTCAGGTATGTCGATACCACAGAAGCATATGGAGGTATCTATGCAAGAAAGAGTACCTAGTGGTGTGGTAATGGGATTTTAATGACTACATGGGAAAAATTAGATGTTCTGTGAAGGTATGAATTTGGAACTATTTCTTGGAGTCTGGCAGTACCACCTTTCCAATGCAAAGTCAACGGAACCCATGCCAGCTATTTTTATGGGTTGTAGATTTATGACACATAAGAATTGTGGAAACCCAAACTAAGAAATTAGGGTTGAAATTTGTTCAAAAACTGATAAATTCCATGGTGTAAGGGCAGAAAGCAATCAGATTCCTTTGATAGGATCATTAAAATAACTCAAGATGCTCAAAGAATTCCTACAGAAACTAAAATTACCATGAAATGGCACTCACAATAACAACTATAAAGCACATGAGAAAACAAACTAACATAAGACAAATGAAATAAACACAGGAAACAACAGAAAGAAACTTTATCAGAACAGAAGGCAGCAGAACAATCTGAAAAAGAGATTGTAAGTTAACCATATAAAATGTTTATAGAGGCAAAGGAAGAGCGTTAAGAACAGATCTTTACAGAACACGAAATTAGTATTTAACGAAATATTATCTATAAATGGAAATATATTCATTAAAATACAAAAGTGAATTAATTAATTGAACAGTAGATTATATGCAGTTTAGCTTACAGTTAAGATTTGAGAAAATTGTAAGAATGAAGCCCAGACAATAAATTAACAGAAATTGTAAAAATGAGGTTAGTAGAAAATGCCTAGAGGAATTTCCATATGGAGAAATAAGAGAAAATAGATATGAGAAATATGTTCAAAAGGTAGCACCTTGAGAATTTTCTAGAAATTAGGAAAAGCATTAATGTTAATATTGAATAAGTACAGCAAATCCTGAGATAGCTAATAGCAAAATGCAGGTAAGACAGAAACACATAATCCTAGAAACAGTAGAGAAAAATAGATTACCATAAAATTAGCTTGAAAGAAAAATTCTTATCAGCAATAACTGAGACCAGATATAGTGAAATAATACATTCAAAGTGCCAAGATAACTGTCAACATAGAATTCTATACCTAGTCAAACTATAGTTCAAGAATGAAAATGAAATAAAACTGTTTATTGACAAAACAGTCTACAACATCTACCATTCAGACTCTTGCTGAAAGAACTACCATTGAGTTAAGTCAAAAACATTGAATCAGAATTAAGGGTAAGATGAAAATAAATAAATAAATAAATGGAGGAACTGGAGTTTGCAGCTTCAGAAAAGCAGAAATTATTTGGAACGGGTCTGGGTAAAACTTCACCACCAGGCAATCAAGGTTGAACAAATATGTTATGGGACAGTAGTGAGGAAATTCTTGAGATTAGTTAGATACTGTCAGGTCAATGCACTATAGCTTTTTACACAGGGAACCAGTAGAACAATCTAGGTGAGACAGTATTGCTAATGGTTGGGTGATTTTTCAATGTTGGCAGCATAATAGAACTTGAAAAAATTATAAAAAACAATATATTGGTGGTTGGATTTCATTCCCTAGGTTTCTGGTTTAACTGTTTTGGAACATATCCTAAGCATCAGTGTTTGTCTTTTTTAAAGCACCAAGGTGATTCTGTGAAGCAAAGGTTGAGAACCATTGTAATAGATTGTTAGAGAAGAGCAGAAGTCCAGAAGCCGGCTTTGGCCACTTGTCAGAGAAGATAATTCAGTTTATATTCATGATGGTGGAGGCCTTTTCACACTCAGGAAAAGTGGCTGAACTTTTTTAGAAAGGGTTGGCAAGCTTACTGTAAAGGCCCAGACAATAACATTTTAGGTGTTGTGGGTTAGATGATTTCTGTTGCAACAACTCAACTCTTTCTGTAGTATAAAAGCAGCCATAGATAAGTATGCAAACAGATGAGCATGGCTGTATTCTAATAGAATTTTATTTATAAAAGAGTGATAGGCGGCATTTGGCCTCTGGGCCTTCCTGTACCAATTTCTGCTTTAGAATGTTAAAGTATACAGTTAAGGGAACATAGTTGAGAACCATCAAATTAGCCATGAATAAAGTAGCCCCATGTGTGACAATATCAAAACAATGTCCTCTCACAGGATAGAGAAGAGCACATGAACATGAAATGCAACAGAGTGTGAAGATCTCAGAAACATAGGCACAGAAATGTCCAGGAGGGAAAATTTGAATAGAAACAAAATTGCTCACATAGAAGGTTAAGATTCTGTCAATGATGTGTTAGCTGTGGACAAATAATAATTGGAAAATGCAGGAGACGTTTTGTTTTGGATTTATGTTTATTTTGTTTTTCACATTTTAGAAGGAGAACATGTAAATGAATAGCTTGGATTTTCTATTTATTCACATCTAGATGTTTTGGGTTTAAAAATCAATGTATTTATATTTTAGCATGTTATTATAATCATGACATTTGTATTAAAACTTTTCCTCCTTTTCCATCCTTAGCCACCTTCTCCAGTGTTATGTTCATATAAGAACATTTTATTTTCACACATCTTGATTAAATGTACAGATAACCTAAAGCATAAACTTAGATTATGGTGACTGGAATAGCAGAAGGATGAGCTTCCTGTCTGGCATAACTTTCAAATTTTACTTGAATTTGTCCTTCTTTATCCTTTCCTATCCCTCATAACTGCTTGAGTGACTTACATAACTACTTATTTAATACTAAAACATATTGTCAATTGACAGTTTAACACTTCCATAATTTCTATAACCTAATCTGCTTACATCTTAGACTCAATGGCTATGTACCAAATCATCGAATATGTTTTATTTTTCTACTCCAAAGACTGTTAAGAAATTCATAGTGCATCTACCAATCAATAGCATATTAGAGTTAAGGAAATATATTGTCTTGTGTTTTTGCCTTTATTTTTTTTCTCTGTCATCTGCTTCCAGCGCCTCCACAGAGTTATATTTCTGAGAAACAAATCTGATATTACCACTACCTTACCTAATAATTTTCACTGCCTAAAGTGATTTTGAGTGATCTCAAAGTCCAGACTCCTTTGTTTTGCTTTCTAAAGGCTTTCATATTGTGGCCCCACATATTCGATCTTCAGCCTCATTTCCCACCATCCCTCTCACTTTTATGTCGCTTGCTTCATTCACTCCTAAATATGAGGCTGATTATGCATTATTTCAATATAAGAATTGTAAACATCTCTAAAGTAAGTTTAATAAAATGGGATCGATGTTGAGTTAAAAACAGCTAAAGAAGACTTTTCCTGAAGCTTAAATATTCAAGATTGAAGTGGATCTTTGTCTTTGCAGGAAAGGCTTGATTTTTTATATTAGAATGAGTTACCAAAGAAACTTAGAAAATATCTTTATTCTGAGCCTTCTGTACACACTAGTCACTCTTCTGTTTGGAATGATTTAGGTAAACCCGTGTGTGTGTGTGTGTGTGTGTGTGTGTGTGTGTGTGTGTGAGAGAGAGAGAGAGAGAGAGAGAGAGAGAGAGAGAGAGAGAGAGA